TCTAATCAGTATTTTGTTTCAAGTAAATCAGCTGAATCTGCAGCAATTAATTTGAGACTACCACTGCAAAGTGTTTATACTTTCCAAGGATTTTAAGAAAAGTGTTATTTACATAAGAAAGCCTATAAGGAAAGAGAATCCCTTCAAAATCCAATCTGTAAAAACGTGCTAAAGATTTTACATACCATTTTTATTAAGATTTTTTTTGTCCCTTTGTAGAGAGCTACCTGAAAGTAAACTGTCCGTTACCCACTATTAAACAGCTTGTCTAATATTCATTATCTGCGAAGACACAAGAACTTATTCACAAAACAATAGGTTACATGCAGCACTGACAAGTGGCACCAATATCCCAGTGAAGTACTGCACACATTAAACCAGTATCAACTCCTTGTAGAACTTCTTTACATACCTACAAAAAGAAAAGCTCTAGGCAGGCATTTATGCAAACTCTGATTCTATGCAAACATCTACAAAGATAACTAGCAAAGAATTTTCCAGGATTTAATACTTATACTTCAAACTTTTTCAAACTATTTCTTCACAAGTTTTGAATCTGTAGGTTTTTGAACTTTACTTTAAAGGCTAGGATTATTCCACTTTCTTACTGAGCACATTTTAACGGGTCTGTGCATTAGGGCTCATTTCTGCATTAAGAAACAGTTTCATAATTCTAAATTCAACATTCACAGATAAAGCTGCCTTGGTCCCATTTCAACACCTGAAGAAGCACAAGATAAACAAAACACATACATTCTTCTGCAACAACAAGTGACACAGAATCCATTCAGAAAAGATACTCCTAAACAGTTTTGTTTTTTTTTTTTTAAAAAAAAATTAAAATTAAAAAACTACTCTTGATATTTTGGAAAACCTTTTTGTAGCACAGGACATTCTCTGAAGTTTCCTAGAACATTCCCACTTGCTTGAGTGAACCACTCATCAATAATAACATTGCTTCCAAACAAAAACAACTAAAAAGCGTGTGACATGGGAAAACCTCAGTATAAGCTGGCAGCAGGAAAAGAAGCCTTAAAACTAGTAACAGCTCATTCCTAAGGCTCAACAAGTACAGCACATCGGATCAGAGTCCGTCAGACTCCTTGTCCAATACTTCTGGGACTACCAGGGAAAGGCCAGGGAAAGCTGTAAATTGCATGTCATTGAGTCAGACGCCGAGGGAGGGACAGTTCAAAGATTCCCCTGTCGCAAAGCACTCAAGTGAGTTAGGGAAATAAACCAAAAGCCCCACAATAGGCTTTTATGGAAAAGGTCACTTTGAATCAGTGGTTCTTATTCCATATTCAACCCTCAACTATCTCTGCACAACAAACATTGTATCACACAGCTGAGCTGCAACTACTATGTATTTTTGCCGGTGAAGGTAAAATCAGGGTTGTGCATTACATTGTCACCAAGCAAAATGCAACATCCACATTAAGTTGCTCTGCTCATTAATCTCCCCTGTGAAGAGGGCCTACAGATGAACTTTCTATCACAGGGATTGAGGTTGTCCATGCAGAAGACAACTTTCTCAGAGGTCTGTTTTTAACTTCTGTGCACTCCTTCCAGGATCTAAAACCATCAGAAATCTCTCTACCTTGAGGAAATTCTTCAACCATGGCTTCCCTAAGATAAAAGATAACTGCAGGAAAAATACATTCAATTAAAAATCATACTAGAAACAAAACGACCACATTAAGCTGTATGCTCAAGGAAGAAGAGAATATTTTTGAAACATATGGCTTGCTCTGTATTGCCACTGTGCTATTGCAAAGGTTTCTGTTACCACAGTGATGTGGCTGTACACACACAGGCTGACAAAAAGGAAACTGACACCGTCAAGAAGTCTCCTTTCAGTTTATCAAAACTCCCCATAAGAAAACAAGCCATTTTAATTTGTTAGTATTTGCTGAATGTAGCAGGGCTTTCAGAGTTGGTTTCTTTTTCAAAAATTACTTTAACTAAGTTTTCCATTGTGAAAGCATGTTAAGGTCAAAACTGATTCCTGATAGAGCCTCCAAACTTACAGTTGTAACTAATAAAGGTTTTTCTTGGAACTACTCTTAAAAAATACTCATTAAAATCCTGCTCAGGAGATCAGGGCTCACACACACGCTTCAAGCTCAATAACTTTTTTTCAGATGAATTTGGACAAGGCCTAAGGCTACAAAGCTGCTGTACTGGAAAGATGAGAATGCACTAAAGAAGATACAAATACTATAATTCATGTGTACACCCTAACCTGTTCTTCTGTCATGTTAACATGACACAAGCTAAACTAATGCACTTTGCAAGAGTAACATATATGAAATCCTTCAATACTGAACTAGCTTTATCCTATTTTAGCATTAATGTGATTAAAGGCAGTGCCTTCAACCAACGCCCTCTTCTTTATATACTGCCCACAATTCCATTATGAAAACACCGTCCATATTGCAGCAAGATGCACGAGTAACGAATACCTGCTGCGCGTTTGCTCCACCTGACATATGAAACAACCCTCTACCTTCAAGTGTCAGACATACAGAAGAGGTAAGAACAAGGAAACAAGGGCAAGAGCCGACATGCTATGATCAGTCACAGTTCTGAGGTTTTCTTACATATTCCTGGGGCAGATCCACTGTAGTACTCTGCATTCACCACCCTACTTGCCCCAGTGGTGCAAGACCCACAGTTCCAGTCTCTGCTCTGAAGCATTAACTCCTATACTCTGGTAGAAGCACTGTCTCATTAAGGCAACTTAAGTCATGTGGGAACAAAACAGAACTCCATCATTTTAATGGCACTTTCACATTACAGATCTGGTTGACACTTGAGAGCAAAAGCTCTCTGTGGCTACTAAAAATAATTACTAGCATAAGTTATTTTGCTCAAATTGATGGGAATTCTGTGTTGTTTTTATTTTTAAATACACTACTGTTGCAAAATGACCAGGTTTTGGCAAGCAATCCTATGGTATAACTGCAACAGCAGATACTAGTAAGTGATAGGACTCCACAGATTTCTACCAGCAAACTTTTCGTAGGTGTCTGTCAAAGTTGCAAAGAACCAGAAAGCTGGAAAGTCTCAAGAAGCAAAATAAGCAATAAATATTGTGCAGTTTATCATCTCCCCTATGTATTTAGAATTAGGTAACGGCCACGCTTATGCTTCTTTTCAAATTGATAGACCTAACTTCTTGCATTTCTGAATTTTCACATCACATTTATTTCTTTCTTCAAGACTGTATTTCAAAAAATAAAAAGCAGGTAAATTTTTATGAAAATCAAAAATATGACAGAAGAGTCCACATCTGAAACTCTTAATACGTGACAGTACAAAGAAGCAAGCACATGACTGCAGCAAAGCAGAGTAAAATTGCTTTAGAGAATGAAAAGACAAGCCACAAGATTGGTAATTGCTGGTCACAAGCCAGTAATTGCTGTAATAGGTGAGACAAATAGAAAACTTGAGAGTTCACTTGAAGTGCCGAGAAGCAGCAGAGGGGCAAGACCCCCCCAGCCAGCCCCGCCACAGAAGGCGGGCTGCAAAACACGCAAAACCAGAAGTTTCAAAAAAGACGACAGAAACAAACAGAGTAAAGCTCAGCAAAACAGAAGACGAGAAAGCGAAGTGAAGTAACAGTGGAGAAGGTCATGAAGATGCAAAGGAGCTCGCGCAACCCCGCGCACCACCAGCGAGCATTCC